ACTGGTCATCTGTTTCATTAAGGTAGGATCAGTTTGCTTGTTGGAAGGGTAAATATGTACGAAAAGATGTTGGTTGAGACTCCTATAAATGTGGCATAGACACTGCGTGAATCGGCAGATAAACTAAGTATTGGTGCAATTGTAAGCCTGAGAGTTATCGATCGTCTAGATCGCATGATCAGAAAAATATTATACATCACTCATCATGGGATTAGGAAGGCAACTGCCTTAAGCAAAAAAACATAACACGCTGAAAATACTATTCTAACACATACAGATGGCCGCCATTGTGGATGTTGGGCCCACGTCTGTCGTACAAGTTGGAACTGCCCATGTGCACATGGTCGCCAGCACCGACCCAGCTAGAATTGAGTTTGTCACTAATCGAGTAAAGACGATCCTTTCTGACAGTGGCATCTCTCCTCTTCGTCTGACTGACCTCATAGCGTCATAAGCTCATTCCTCAATCCCTCTTCACTTAGCCTATTCTCCCGCCTGCACCCCTTCTGTCCCAACATCTCCCAAGTGTGTACGCCTTCAAGAGGGATTACTGAAGCGTCCTCACTCTCACCACTTGTTTTAATCCAGAATACAAGGCTTCTTGATCCCAATCCGTAATTCCACTCAGCAAACCACTCAGATTCTATCACATTCTCTCTCCTGTCCTGGATAAATATAAGCCCTCGATCTCGGCCACTGTTCTTCATTTTCATGATTAGTTCAGAATGTGCACAATAGTCCCAAACTCGTTATTCTCGTCCCTTTGGAATCAGAGCCCCGATTTATCAGTTATCACTGCATTCCATGAGGCCCTGCGGAAGGTCTGTCGATTTAACCACGTCAATGATATGATTTGAGGTCGCCTTGACACCACGACTAAGTTGTGAAAACAAGGTCGAACCATACCTCTAACTTGTTTTCTTTAGGCCGCATGCGATCCACTTAAAGATTCAATGAACATGTTTTTCTCACGAACTAATATGGTGATTTCAATGTACGTCTTCGTTGCCTAGCTATTTTTTTTTACATATAAGCCTAATTTTTCACTATTAAACGTTTATCATAGCAATGCAATTTAATCTTTCTGAGTGCCCTTTGCATCCGGACACTTCATGCATCTACACTATGATTCTTTCGTCCTTCCACTAGGTTCTCTTTCATCACCGTTTGGGACCCGCCAAACCCGACACGGTCAGACTTTGGCCGCCGGCAACTCATCCGCTTTGTCTAGTAAGCTGAATCCAGCCCAGCTGCATGATCTCTGCATACTGCGCCGACGGCCGCGCAACCTTGACGCTGAAGCTAGTGAAGCTACCGCTAGTGGTTGCGGAGGGGGTGGCAACGAGGTCGTTTATGCTTGCTCAGTATGCCGACTGACTTCTCCTACACAGGGTGCTATCCGGGCCCACGTAGTTCGCGTCCATCTGGCCCTGCCGGCACATGCCTGCGTCTATTGCTCGGCCACATTTATGGCAAAACGAGACGTGCTCACTCATCATGAGGCTTGTCATCCTCGCGAAGCCTTGGTTACTGGATTGCAACCCGCTGATTATAGAGATGCCATGTCCAAGGTGAGGCAGATTAACTCGGTATTGCACATTTTAAAAGATGGATATATTTAATTAATTCAAACCGATAGCTTACTATTTTAGACAGAAAGGTGGATGAGTATACGAATGGATGGATATGTTGGTGCCTGACGGATAATTGGGTAGGTGAATAGATGAATGGATAAGTAGCTAAGGGGCTAAATTGTCTATCTTTTTTATACACACATATATATATATATCATATGCTTATCCCTTGTGTGTTATTGATTGTCTACCTCTTTCTGTCACCTTTATCCATCTATGTATAAGTAGTATGATCAGATTAAACTGATCGAAAATACAAAAATTTGCATACTTTATTATTGTTTTGATAGCTACTCCCTCAGGTGCCATATTTTGCAGCTTCTTCCTAATACCTACTATTTTGGCATGAGATAAAGTTATCTTTTATATCTGTCTCATTTTGCTTTGTCTAACTTATTCCGACGAATTTAATTTGCGAAATTCGGGTCTTATCATTTCGCCTCAGTTGCTTTCATATTTAATTCCAGCAAATAAACCTATGATTGAATATATGAAGACAAAGATGTGGTCTCTGGTATGATCGCTGTCTCCTTTCGATTTATAGAAGTGGGTTGACCTCGTCGCAACTTGGTCTTGTTGTCAGGATGACTATGTAGAACGAACCTAGTCCGAAGTCGTCTACCATATTAGTTGTCATGATTCCCAGCACCTCTATAAACCTATGAATGTTTTCCGTGTTTATTTGTGCTTGCTCATGCAGGTTTTTGTGTGTGAGTTCCTTTGTCTTGAACTATCAGACACCTGAGGAAAGAATGACTTTAATAGACCTAGATCATGGCTTTAGCAGTTCTCTTTTAGGCAGAGAAATACCATTTCCTGGAGTCTCTTTCTTCATTAATGAGTTTTATTTTTTTCTTTTAATTATTGCCTGTCGCTTTTTGACAAGTTCTCTGCTCACTCATTGTCTATCTCTTTCTTGCCTATGCCCTTATTATACTTATTGCCTGATCGTCTGGTTGCTTTCAAGGAGCTTGCAGCGCATGGATCTTTAACATTTTCGTACGCTTAACTAAAATATTCTTTATTTCCAGATCAGGTTTTCCTTCTGGATAGAGCTTTTGCTATCAATCTCTTTTTACTGCTTAAGTGAAAATTTTATTGTAACACTCCCATTTTACGTCCACCATATGGTTCGTTGGCCTGTCTAGCTTGCAACAAAGCAGCGAATGAGGTTCGTTCCACTACTACCCTCGAACACCTGCAATTTACGAGGTAGCCATCGTGCCGTATTGTTCATTTTTTCAAGAGTTATAACGTGGTTTTATGTCCATTTATAAGTAGATTTACATGGGTTGGGATCGATTAACTCTCCCAAAGTATCCCTCTTAAGCTTAGAGTGTCGTTTGCGCAACTTCTGTAAGTGAATTATGCCTCAATTATTGTGGTATATTATGTGTTTTCGCTGATCCACGGAGCTTATTTATCTTTGTATAACTGATACTGTTGCATTTACGAAGTTTAATCTTGGCCATTCTTTACTTTGTGGTTTGGGTAACTCAAATTGGCCTATCAATTTATGTTATTGCTTACATTCCCTTATTTTTGTGCATCCGGTATACTAATTATCTATTACTTAGGTTATTCGATAGCGATACATACTATTGCTTTAATTTATATCCTTGATTATTATCATGAACTCTTTTATTTTGGTGTAACGTTGAGCACATTGAATTTAACTTTCAGTTAGTCGCGATTTCAGCACTGTTTTGTGCTTGGTGCCAACTACAAATTAGTGCCATTACATAATGTTCTCACTAAATTTTAACTATGAGGCTTACTTTGCATTGAAATTCTTACGTTTTCCTCGTTCCATTTGTCATAGCAAAGCTAACGTATTTTTCTCTAGATGCATACAATATGACTTTGGATCTTGTGATAAATGTTTCCCAAATTAGGGTAAACTTGAAGTTATTCTTATCCCGGATACAAAAGAAATAGTTTGGCACAAGCCGTAGAGCATTTCTATATTATAGCGTAAGGTTCTTATTCAACTATTTGTATCAAATAGTAGTGAATGCTGTTCAATTTTATGTTTTCTTATTTAGTGAGCCTATGCTCAATTTCGAATATGATTACTAGTCCGTTGGCATAAATTGTTCTTAATTTCTTCAATAGCACTTGCATATGTTCTTTTTCTGCCAAGATAGCCGTGGTATTCTGTTAATGAGGACAGGTTCATAGATTTCATAATTATTCCCCCTTTGTGAAACCTGTCTTCTTCACGGCATTCCATCTACATGCTACATCTTATTAAATTACTTTCAATTTGTTAAGCTTCACGAGATATGCAAAATATTATGCTTACAGATTTTGTCACGATATGCTTAACCATTGGCTCCTCCTCTATATCCTAGCCTCTCTCTAGGTCGTCTACTGATTTTACTCGCTCATCCTGCTCTAATTGATGCTACAATGATATTTAAAACCTTCGATTGGTCAACATTGCTTTATTAGCAATGCTTTGTACGTCCATATACCACTTTGTTTAGGCTTTGCCGACCTCTACTTTGATAGTCGTGAATGCCGTGCGAATCATCTGA